CTCAGTGATCAAATATATACAAATAGAAAATATATTACTCTTTTAAATCAATATCCTAAGTTTTTCTGGGAAATTGACTTATTATGGTAATTAACTTTTCGATTTTTTCATATCTGAGTAACTTTTTTTGTACACATCTAGGTAACGAATTTTTTGGAACTATTCACATATGACCAGTATAACCGGTTGTAACAGGTAACATTTAGTCGTAATGGTCACATTTGAACACTTATATCAAGTTCGTTACCTTGATGTATATAAAAAAAAGTTACTTAAATATGAACAAAACGAAAAGATAATTACCCTGATAATTCAAAAAAAAAATACCTTTTAATTTTGATTTGTTATAATATTTAACCTAAATTGTAAATATTTCTAAAAACACTCCATTTTGGTAAATATCTTTTTAAAATACACTACTTTGATAATAGAAAAAAAACCTCTAGATTTTCCATGGAAAAAACACATGGTCGTTTATAAAATTTTATTGTTTAAGATATCAAATATAAAAAATTTAATTTACTAAAGATAAAGTACTAGAGATGGAGACCAATAATATAGAGAAGAACACTGAAGATGTTTGCTCCATGTATTACAAAATTTTAAAATACAAAAAATAGAAGTAGTTTTATCTACATCGATAACATTGTTCATGACACACACACACATACACACACACACACACACACACACACACATATATATATATATATATATATATATATATATATATATATATATATATATATATATGAGACATGAGCAATGTTATCGATGTAGATAATAACTACTTCTATTAATTATGTTACAAAAAAACAAATCCCAATATGTCGTGACCAATTTAAATGCTCCTAAATGATCATAAATATTGTTTAAGGAAATTTAACTAAATCTATTAATATTGCAAACATTATGATCGATTACCTTAATAAAAATGCAAATTGACTTATCAAGTCAATTATTTTTTCATTTTTTTCACTTTTATGTAAAAAAATATGTACGTATCTAAGTAATGAACTTGTTAAAATTGTTCACAAATGACCATTAGACTAGGGGGTGGGTAAAACTTCTAGCAGCTTGCCATATCACCTTTTTTAGTGTCACATTATTTTTCTCTCTTAGCACCTAATTCTTAGCATTTGGTTGTAAATGGTAACACTCCTAGCATTGCATTTTTTTAAATATATATATATATATATATATATATATATATATATATATATATATATATTAAAATACAAACAATTAATACTATATAAATTTTGTTTTTTTGAACCTCAAACAATTAATATCAAATAAATTATATTTTTTAAAATACAAACATTTCAAACTAAATTAAAAAAGTTATAATATGAAGACACATACTGTATCACACTATAAAAACATCATCTGAAGAAAATGACGATGATGATGACGACGTGGACGATAACAACATTGGTTTATATAGAAAAGACCCGATTTGTAAGAGAAAGAATGATAGTTTGTGTGTCTGAAATGTTCAGAGTGTAGTGTAATTTATTGTGGTTGAAGTGTAATTAGAAAATTTAAAATTTTATTAATAAAAGTATTTTTTATAAAATCATATGTATCTGTTGGATGAAATAAATGAATTTAGTTGATAAATTTTAGTTGGTGAAAAGCAATTTCTATCACCCCATTTCCACCAATCACAGCTTTAGCCATACTAGCTTTCTTCTCGGTAAAACTCTAGTGAGACTCCAGCCAAGCAACCCCCTAGTGGGTGCTAGGGGACGGTGTTTCCTCTCCCATAGCGAGCTTAGCAAGTGTCTGTAGCGAGGCCATTCTATTTAGTCTTGTGAACAATGTAACCAGTTATGGCCGATCATAATAGTTATATGTGAACACTTACAACAAGTTCTTTACCTATATATATATATATATATATATATATATATATATATATATATATATATATATATATATATATATACATATACAAAAAAATAGTTACGCAAATGTGAACAAACCAAAAAGTTAATTACCTTAACAAGTCTATTTCCCGTTTTTCTCAGTAGAAAACCCGTCACATCCAACTTTCTTATCTATTTTAGCCCATTTTTTTTTCAATTTTGTTCTGATCCTTTTATTTTTTTTACTTTTTTAATAAAGCTTTCTCATTTTTTTTTCAGTTTAGAAAAATATTTTTTTTTTATTTTAGAAAATTATTTTTTATAACTTTTTTAACAATTGATTTTTCTTTTAAAAGTACTTTACTACGAACCCACTTTTCTTTAGAATTTTGCTATGTATGACTCGTAGAATTTAATATTTTTAGAGAAAAGGTAATTGTTATAACTTTGAAAATTACTTTTTATAGAATTTTTGTTGGGTCTAAAATATGGTTTATACTTTACTTTTCTAGGCAATTGTAGTTTTTGGTTTAGGACCGAAAACAACCTTGGGTTTAATTGTAGCTTGGACCGAAAACTCATGTGTTATCGGTCTAGCATTGGGTTTGCGGTTTATATATATATATATATATATATATATATATATATATATATATATATATATATATATATATATATATATATATTGTTAAGCGTGTCAAACCCAACAAATAAAGGGGTAAAATAACTCCTTAAACACTACTACTTTGTACTAGAAATGTAATACAAGGTAAGTAGGGTCGATCCACAGAGACACGGAACAAATGTTTATACCTTTTTGCGGAAGGTACAATAATGGTCACATAAATGGGGGGTTGGTATGCAATGATTTAAACAAAAGAATAAAGCAATAAGTAAATGATCAATTAAATGAAACAAATTCAGGATTTGTGAGAACTCCAACTCTATGCAAGACAAATTAGCAATGTGATTCCATGGATGACAATATATTTGTTTAATTCTATCTAAGTTGGTACTTGAAAGTGTTAACAAGCTCTAACACTTCCCATTCACCACAATAATTAACCAAAACAAGCTCTTTGATTAATGCTAACCTTACCAATCTAATCTAAACAAGCTCTTAGAATTAGGTTGAAAGATTGCATTAAACTTTATGTGAATGTTCCCAACAATAATCAATACTCCTCATAAGCTCGGGAGCATAAGAATGTATGAATAGATTTACACTAATTTCATTCAATAGAAATCAGATTAGTGCTTGTTACCTAGTCCAATTTACAAAACAATTACGGATTTTGCAATTAGATAACTTGAATGATCTAACCCTAATCCAAATGGCCAATAAGAATCACAATTATAATCAAACATTCGATTGAGACAAAATCAAATTCACTAGATAGAAAATTGAAAGCAAACATCAAGTCATATGATTGAAATCACATCCAAATGTCAAGACATAAAGTTGGAGAATTTAGGGTTCTAGCCACTCATGGCTAGAACAAGATCACAAATCTACAAAATGAAATTAAAGTTCTTACAAAATGAAATCAAATGTTCCCAAGTGTTAATCAACTTCAAAATCCTCAAGAAATTCGCCTTCTCTACTCCAAAAGTCGACCCCCTAAGTAAAAAGTCGGTTCCCCCCTTTAAAAATGGGGAAAAACTGCTTTAAAACCCGCATTTACGTTTACACGGCCCGCGTAAATTAACACTATCATTTACACGGCCCACGTAAACGCAAAAATATACTGCGCATAAATCTACGTTTACACGGCCCGCGTAAACGCAAGGCTTGCATTTACACGGCCGTGTAAATCTCTGTAAAGCCAAAATCTTCATTTCTTTGATATCTTGCTCCTCGGTGCTCCGCAAGTCCTGAAATTTTGTCCGCAACTTTTATTTACCTCCTCCAACAATATCCTACCTCCAAAAGTCCTTGAAATATCACAAAAATATTTGAATGAAATTGCATCATGAAAAATCCCGAAAAACATGCAAAATGCATGAGTTTAAGCCTATATGCAATGTACTTTTATGAAATAAAGCTACAAAATGGGTACATGAAATGCACCTAACACACACACACACACACACATATATATATATATATATATATATATATATATATATATATATATATATATATATAGGGAAATGATCAAATGAGAACACCTAAAAGGTTGAGAACACGAGAACAATTCTGAACCAATCAATATATATGGGCATATTAGTAATTGTATATTTTAATTAAATTAAAATAAAATAAAATTCAATCAAATTCCCTTAAATTTAGGAGCAGTTACCAAAAAAGAAATAAATATTCAATTTTTTATTTTTATTATTAATGGAATATAAAAATCACTTTTACCAAAATTTGTCTTAAAACTGAAATTTTTTTTTTAAGAAAATCAATTTTTTTCTTCTAATTTCACGTTTTTTTTTTCAAAAAAATGAATAGAAATCGAACCCTAAATTAATACATTTGTATTCACAAATGATTTTTTTTCAAAAAACCCGATACTTCTCCAATCACAAATGAATACACATCAATTTACAAGTAATCCAATTCCTTTTTTTAATCGACTGAAAAATAAAAAAAGTGTAAAAATTATCATTTCTTCATAAAAAGAATACCTCTAATCATAAATAAATACATTCATTAACACATGATTACACTGCTATTCACAAATGAATACACTACTATTAACAAATGAGTTCCCTATTATTCACAAATGAATAAATGAATACCTCTAATCGTACATAAATATATTCATTCACACATGAATGCACTTCTATTCACAAATGAATACACTGCTATTCATAAATAAATACATATTTTAACATTAATATAGAACACAATACAATTTTTCATTCTCCTCTAGCTCACCTTTACCATTTGGTTTCCCATCAACTTTAGGAATAACTTTGATGTTAAGATCAACCACGGAGCTTGAAGCTTCAACAATTCAAGCATAAGACTTTTTGCTAACATCATTGACAATAGTAACCACTGGGATGATTTTGATTTAGAATCATTATCAACAATCATCGGCTCATTATCCCATTTAAGATCCAAAAAACTAACTCCCTGGTTCATTTTCAAATCAGTCCCAGTATTTGATCCCATCTTCACATCATCATTGAACCCTCATTCATTACTTTATCATTACCACTACCAGAATGCTTCAAAATCTTCATAGGAATAAGAATCGTAACATGAGATGTTTCATGAACAGGGGACGTACCAGGAATCTTACCCAAAATACCCTTAGCATGAATCTGATTAAGATGGCGGTCCCAGTTTTGACTTTCTATGGTTTGACAATTCAAATCGAAAATCAATTCTGATTCCTTCTTTGAATATGAAACTCAATTTTTGAAAAACACCGAATTTGATTTGGAATTGAGTTTTTAATGATCCATTATGCATCAGTTCATAAACAAGAAGCTTGGTTTCATCATGAACACAATATCCCAATAAGGTGATGAATTTTACTCAATAGATCAACCTCCGTCTGCAAAAAAGAAAACCCTAATCACAAAATTGCAAGAATTAAAAGATTAATTAAAGTCTGAATCTTTAAGATAATGATAATTAACCTGGAATTCTTTAATGGCGTCTTGACTAATACCATCTAATCTTTTAACTGCTACATGCAAATTATCATCGAGTCGAGCATTATACACGCATCCAAATCCACCTACACCTAATATCTCGCTTTCACCGAAGTTATTTGTTGCTGATTCTAACACGTTATAATCCATAACAACCACCGATCCCTTTTCGATTTTGGTTTTGAAAACACTGTTAGTTCTGCTAACGAATGAACTCAATGGAAGCCCTCTCAACGAATCTTGAAATTAAAACAACATATTTGTTTAGAATCTGTAGAAATTGTCAAAACCTATTAAGTTTTACATCGTCTTACCTAATTTTGTGGTACCGATTTTGCGTGATTTGTGTATATTCTTTCTGTGGCATATCCACAAACACATAAGAGACACTATGATGATTGCCATCACAGACAAAACTGTGATGAGCCCAATAAGAACCTTTCGACTTGAACTGTGTTGGTGCTTCGTGATATCGATTTCAGTTCCTGATTCGGATGAAAGTAAAGATGTTAGAGGTAGATAGCAATAACCCGGATGTGAATGATGGAAGGGGATATAAACCTGAAGTGAAGTCGGCCATTGATGCTGGAATTGAAGGAATGGGAGGTGCAGCAGGCGAAGTTCGCTTTGTGGAATGTTTCTCAGGCGGCTCCTCCTCCGACTACCGGCGCCACTCAATGGAGAGAGTGAGAGAGAGAGAGAGAGAGACCGTTTAAAATGTTTCTCCGCTGATTCTGTGGCCTCCTTCGGCTCTGATATATTCTATGAGATGAGGCAGTGAGATGACTAATTCTATGAGATTAGGTCAACCAAATAAAGCAACGTAGAGTAATTATAGGAGTTTACAAAATTAGGGTAATGTTTATTTACCTTAATAGCCTTTATAATTTTTTTTTAATTTAAAATTTAAAATTTAAATGTATTAATAATTAGAAAAATAACAATTAATTATAGCCACACATCTTAAAACATAGATGGTCCAGATCTGTTCTCGCGTTCTCAACCTTTTAGGTGTTCTCATTTGATCCTACTCCTATATATATATATATATATATATATATATATATATATATATATATATATATATATATATATATATATATATATATATATATATAGGTGAGGAGTGGGGTGTAGAGTCACAAGTGGAGGAGCATTCATTTATATCATGTGCTAGAGAGAGAAAGTTAGAGAGAGAACTAGTGTGTGAATCATGTGTAAGGATTATCATTCATATTCATCAATACATAATAGATTCATCAAGTTCTTCTTCTTCTTCATCATCTTCTTCTTCTTCTTCTTCTCCATTTGATCTTACATCATCCACTTGATTGGGATTGCGCACCATCAAGTGGATCAGATTGATACATCAAGCAAATTTCGGGTACTTACAGTTGGTATCAGAGCTTGGATTGTATCAATCTCTTTGGCAAGATCTGGAGCGTTTTTGCATTTTTCTTGAAAGATTTTACGTTTTTTGATATTTTTTGAAAAACTATTGGGGGTTTGTTCTTCGTGTTTTTCATAAAAATGAGTTTTTGATCGAGTTTTGGAGCTAAAAAGGTGAAAAATCAGGTTTTTGGTCGTAAACAGCGAAATCTGGCAGCAATTTTCGCATTCAACATGTTTTTTCGAAGTGTTTTCGGTCGGAAACACGTTACAGCCAATTGTGAGGTTTGCGATCAGGAGTAGCGTGCCCAAGTTCGCTGCCGAAGCGTTTACAGTCGTGATACGTTTTCGACTTCGGACACTACGCACGTGTTCGGCCAGCAGTTCTAATTGTAGCTTGGACCGAAAACTCATGTGTTATCGGTCTAGCATTGGGTTTGCGGTTTATATATATATATATATATATATATATATATATATATATATATATATATATATATATATATATATATATATATATAAGGAGTGGGGTATAGAGTCACAAGTGGAGGAGCATTTATTTATATCATGTGCTAGAGAGAGAACTAGTGTGTGTGAATCATGTGTAAGGATTATCATTCATATTCATCAATACATCATAGATTCATCAACTTCTTCTTCTTCTTCTTCTTCTTCTCCATTTGATCTTACATCATCCACTTGATTGGGATTGTGCGCCATCAAGTGGATCAGATGATACATCAAGCAAATTTCGGGTACTTACAGTTGGTATCAGAGCTTGCATTATATCAATCTCTTTGGCAAGATCTGGAGCGTTTTTTGCCTTTTTTTCTTGAAGGATTTTATGTTTTTTGATATTTTTTGAAAAATTATTAGGGGTTTGTTCTTCGTGTTTTTCATAAAAATGAGTTTTTGATCGAGTTTTGGAGTAAAAAGGTGAAAAATCGTGTTTTTTGGTCGTAAACAGCGAAATCTGGCGGCAATTTTTGCATTCAGCGTGTTTTTTCGAAGTGTTTTCGGCCGGAAACACGTTACAGCCGATAACGAGGTTTGCGACCAGGAGTAGCGTGCCCGAGTTCGCTGCCAAAGCGTTTATAGTCGTGATACGTTTTCGACTTCGGACACTACGTACGTGTTCGGCCAGCAGTTCTAGCACGTGTATAGTCCTCGCAGGTTTTTGGTTCCTCGTTTGCATCCAGCAACCTCTTTCGGTCAGTGGGTGCGAGTTCTCGGTTAGAGGGTAATCAACATATATTCAAAAATTATGGCATGGAGGAGGATCAAACTCGGGTCTCTTGCATACACAACCCGCCACCTTACCAATTGATCTTGCAAGCTAGATGCTTAACATCCTTCCTCATTAAATCATATAGCTTCGCATCTTCGGTTCATATTTTCGGATTTTATACATTTTCGGCCCAAAAATTAATTTTTCAAATTTTAAAGTTTCATTTTCAACCCAATGTTTTGACTTTTAATTTTTGACTTTCTAAATTGACTTTTGACCTCAAAATTTTACTTTGACTTCCAAGCTTGTCCTTTGACTTTAAACTTTGACTTTCTCGTTTAACGTTTAAATTTTCACTTTTAGCTTTTCGGTTTGACTTTTAAGTTTAAATTTTCAAGTTTGACTTTATAAACTTGACTTTTAAGGTTGACTTTTGAGGTTTTATAGTCAAAATGCATTTTTGGTAATCAATGAGTTCCTCAAACATCTCGGTCAATGATGTTTCATGCTCTAAATCTTGTGAAGCTATGATTAAATTTCTTCATGAACAAAATGATTTGCTAATAAGGGAAAATGAGGACCTTAAGTACGAAGGCTATACCCTTAGGAAATGTCAGAAACCCCTGAAAGAACAATTAGAGGCCAAAACTAAGGACTTTAGGAAACTTTAGGAAGAGTACAACAATAAATGTGTGAATTATGATTATGTTAAGGGAAAACATTCCAGTTTGAATGCTAAACTTGACACATTGAAAAACAAATTTGAAAATGCATATATTAATTTCAAAAAGTTTGATGTGTCAAGTAAAATTGTTGAGTCAATGATAGAGAAACAATTAACATTTAAAGATAATCAAACTAAGGGTTTAGGGTATCACAGTGTGCCACCTCCTTTCAATGACAACTATACCCCGCCCTTTGAGACCAAGGAAGAAGAAATACCTACTCAGTTTGACCAAACCCCATTACCAGCTTCAATTAAGATTGAACAATCTGGGCCAACTGAGAGTGTTGAGGTGAAGGATACTAATGATTCTACTTCCTGTGCAGGTAAAGTGGTGGAAGATGAGAACAAGGAGAACAAAACTAATTCTAGTTCGGTTGATTCCGTTTAATGTCAAACAAATGTCTCCTTGAACTCTGAATTTGTTGCTTCTAATCAACCTCCTGTTGGAAAATACATGCCACCAAAACAAGCGAAACAAACTGCTTGTTGCAAGTGTGCTTGTGGGAACGATCAGAAACGAGTAAAGGGCACGCCACCAGGGGCAAGCAGAAACAATTCCTACGTGAAGAAAAAGACATGTTTTCACTGTGGAACACCTAGACACATTACCAGAAATTGTCCTAATCACGCATATTATAACATCCCAAAAATACAGTCTAAAAATTTAGTTTTAATTTAATAATAGAGCCATAGTCATCAAACATCATTTAAAAATCATAAACAGTGTATCTCAAGATTTCGTAACAATTGTCAAAATTTCAGAGTATAAACATCCCAGGATGAACAGATGGTGAGTGCACTGCAATCTTCCCGTGCACCTCGTCTGAAAACTGAGTACCTGAAATCAAAACTTAAACTGTAAGAACGAAGCTTAGTGAGCTCCCCCAAACTATCACATACCATACAATAATACAAATAAAACATACTGGGCCCCGCCCATTTCATCGCTCCCCGCCCGGCATCGGACCGAAGTTCGATATAATCTGGGCCCCGCCCACTGCATCAGGCCCCGCCCAGCATCAGACCGAAGTACAGAATAACTTGGGCCCCACCCGACATCGGACCGAAGTCTAGAATAAACTGGATATAACATATCATTAACATATAGCATTATCACATACTGCATCGGGCTTGCACGACATCGGACCGAAGTCCGGATCATATAAAACATATCGCAACATGCATGAATCACAAAGACATCAAGCATACATATTATTGCATCGGGCCCCGCCAGGCATCGGACCGAAGTCCAGAACTACTATCATTTAAACGGGTCGACATTGTGGCCATAGACCTGTTCCTACTGGAAGGAGACTCATCTCACACTGCTGAAGTCCTGAAGACATAACCCCACATTGTTGAAGTCCCACAGACTCAATCCCAGTTGCTGGATGACAGATTCCCAAACTGTCAACACCAATAACATCCAATTAATAATTGGGTCCCAACCCATAACCATAAATACATACTTGGATAATTACTACATTACCCCAAGGTTGGCTTTATTCAAGCTCAAGTCCTAACCATTTGGTCCAGTCTAATATTTAACATTCTAATGGGCCAATATCATATAATCATAAAGGGCCAAACTATGGCCCATCTATGGCCCAATCTTTCGAATTGGGCCTAACTCCTCATATGGGCCTTACCTCAAAGCCCATTAATTATTCTAATCCATTTGCTTGATCTTGGATGGTCTATTAATAATCCAATCATCATGGCCCAATTGAAAGGCCCAATAATAAACCCAAGTGAAATAAGGGTTTTCACATAAAATGATGATTAGGGTTAAGTGTTTCTCACTTAACTCATTAAGGACTTAATCCACTAAGGTCTTAATCCATTAAGTCCAATATTGCTTAGATTAATTTTTGCCAATGATTATTATTTAATATCTCCAATTATTAAATAATTCTCGTGTGTCCCGATTAATTCCCCAAATTAGGGTTTTATTGGCATTATGGTTTTTCCAACCCAAATACTAGCCTATTTATCAATTTGTTGGGTTTTTAGGTCAATTAGAGCTTTATTGGGTTTATTAGGCCCACTAGAATATCATTAAGCCCATTAGTCACATGCTTGGGCTTTTAGGTCCATTAAGCTTCATTAGGTCCATTAGGGCTTACAAGGCCCATTAGGGTTTTGGTAGTGGGGCACCACCCACTACCACCTCGGGTAGCGGTGGTCAATGGTGACTCACGGCGGTGGCGGCCACCTTACGGTGGTGGTTATTATTATTTTTATTATTCAATGCTAATTACAGTTACAAGGCTTTTATCCAAAATAACACACACACTAAATAACAAACACACACAACCACACCATGGTAGCCGCCGGTGGCGCTTGGCGGCAGCCACAACCTCACGGTGGTGGTGGTGGCCCTTTTCCTGATTTTCGGCCAAACAATCCCAATCATACATCACTGAAATAACACACACCCACCCCAATGCTCGGAAAAGTAACACAACCACCACCTGGTGGCGCTTGGCGACGGCAGAACCCCAGAGAGGCGGTAGTGGTGGTTTCGCGATGACAGCGGCGTTTTCTCTTGATTCCCAATCAAGCAAACCTATACGCACACTCGAAAACATGATCTGAAGGCTAATACATCTCCAACTCGGCCACTACGGGTGGCAGGCGACGAACGGAATCCTAGAGATGGCGACCCAAACTTATTCTATGACCATAAACTCCAAAGCATATGGTCATTTGACCATAAACTCCCATTAGAGGCTTTGCACTCCTTTGTTGCAACCCATTTGCCTCCTAGCACTTGACCAAAAGTGTTTTCCTCGCGTTAAAATGTTTATACTTGTATAATTAGTGTTTTAATCACTTATTATTTATATACATATGTCTTCATATGTAATTAGGATCATTTTGTGTGTCTAAAGTCTTCACTTGACACTAAGCACTTGTCCGATCCTTCCTTACGTTAACAGTCCGTTCAATTCCAGCCACTTACTACAGGTGAGTTCATACCCCTTAAATAATGTTTTAAACTACTTTTAAATGTTTTATGGGGGGGGGGAGGGGGATACAAGTAGAATCATACTAGTTATTATATCAATCACATGTGATTAATAAGTAGAATTATGCTAGTTATTATATCAATCACATGTGATTAATATGCAACATTCAAATGATTTACTACACATTAGCCGTTTTACCAAACAGTTTTCTTCAAATGATTTTTATAAACATTTTATATGTTTTAAACCTTTATTATAATGTACATTTTACTCGATATATTACATTTCAAACTTATTTACAATTGTGTTTCAAACAAATGTTTCTTTATACTAAACTGTTTTATCAAACCCATGCCTTCAAATTGTTTTATAGATTGACATCAAGTCGATATTTTCTTAAGATAATAATTATGTTCAAAGGTTTTTCAAAACTTACTTTATGCTTTTATATAATAAATTGCATGCCTATATATGTATATTTATATGA